ATCCATCCATCCATCCATCCATCCATCCATCCATCCATCCATCCGTTGAGGGTTTATTTCGGAGTATAAAAGTCACTCGACCCAACTTTTTTGGGAAGGCAAAGAGAAGAAGGGCTCAAAAGCCTTTTGCAACCCTTGTAATACTTCATTCCTGGGTGGCGGTTCTCTTCCTTTCCTGCCTCTTTACAGATGTCATTAAAAACTCACTAGCAAAGTGAAATGGGTGGTTTAACTTAGCTACAGCCAGAAAACAAGATCCATTAATGCTTTATTGAACTATTAAGTTGCTATGGAAAAGGAGAGGGGAAAGAAAGGGGGGGAGGCAGTGCAGAGTAAACAGCGCCTTGCTTCTAAAGTGAACTTTGCTCATTTCCTGCCCGCCAATTAGGTTGGGGGCCAGCCCCCCCCAGCCTTCCATCAGCAAAATTGCTAGTGAGGGTGGCCAAGGGTTACAGGAGCAGGCGGCTAACCCATCTGTAAGTCCCCAAGTGGGGGTAAGTTGCTCTAAATTTTTGCAGACATGGGGGGAATCTGGAGGCCTCTCCCACTCCCACATCAAAGCTCACCCTTCCTATTTCTGTTTTAAGTGGTACCACATGATTTGTTTAAAAGCCCTTGTCTGTTCCACCTCCTCCAATATCTAGATTGTAACGGCAATAGCATTAGATGAAGATTAGGTGCTACGTCTCCTTCACGTTGCTGAAATAAAGCTCTCCGAGTTTTTCACAGGATGGGAAAATTTATTTCTGCAGCCCAGCTTCCAAAGCTGGGAACTGGGCTGTGCTGATTGGTCTAAATCAGTGTTTCTCACCCTTGGGAACTTTAAGATGTGTGGACTTTGATCCCCATGGCTGGCTGGGGAATTCTGGGAGTCAAAGTCCACACATCTTAAAGTTCCCAAGGGTGAGAAACACTGGTCTAAATCCAATCTCTTTTAGTACTCATTTAGCAAAGTATGTTTCACTCATGCAGAGTAATGTTCAGATTGCTAATGAAATATTTGGATGTAGATTCAATGGTCAATTAGGAGCAGAAGGAGCTTGCCTGTATTTCTGAAAATGTATCTGAAAACTCTTCCTTTCTTTCCTTTTTCGGGCACAAATGGCCACCAGGCTCAAAGGAGCGTGAAGTCTGGGTAGAGGGTGCAGCTTCCTCACCACTCTTCTTGAACTGACTGTGCGATGAGGTGCTGTTGCCTAGTTACACCATCATTCCAGGAAAAGTTGCAAAGAGGAATTAGCATCTGCAGAAAATTGCAGACCAGTGTCACGCTGATGTTGCAATGGCATGTGGGAAGGACCTTGGGAGACAGGGCGAAGAGATGCAGCCAAGGGAATGGTCAGATAAAAGGCACAATGGTGGGGCAAGAGGCTCCAGAAGGGACCCTCCCTAGTTTTTGGGCTGTAAAGGGGAGGGGGGGAGAGATGTACTTTCAGACTTACAAGATTGATATCAGCTTTGTGAGGTAGACCAGACAGGAAACACAGCCAGATGAGCTAATTTTACTTTACTGTAAGGTTACATTAACAGAATCTTGCCACTCGGAAAGTACATCTCTCCCCCACTCCCCTTTACTAAAAAACTAGGGAGGGTCTCTTCTGAGCCTCTTGCCCCACCCATTATGCAGCTGTGGGCTATGCCCTCTCTTATCTGACTGTTCCCTTGGCTGTGTTCCTTCGCCCTGTCTCCCAAGGTCATCCCCACATACCATCACAGATGTCTTCTGCCTGTCTAAGTGGTCTGTGTGTGTGCAAAATTTCACAAGCAAAACCTCCCATACGCTCACACCCCAGCTAGACAGCGAGATCATTTCCAAGAAAGGATAAACAGTGGCTGGATTTGATTCCCGCTAGTCTTCATCCCACCGTGGATTTGCTAGGAGCCAAAAATAACCAAATCTCCTCCCAACCCAATCCGGGCCATTCCCTCCACCCCCAATTCCTAGCCAGGAAAAAAGATAATTTCCTTTGCAAACTCCATCCCACTCACCAGCAGTACTCCGGACAGCATCACTATCACCATCTTCACGATCACTCGGGTAGCTTTCTGGGGCACCATATCCCCCGGTTCGCTCACTACCCGAACTGCTCTGGCTTTCCGAAATGGTGCTACCCAAAGTCTGACTGGTGGTCCCGCTCAGGGATCGAGCAGCCTCACCACTGGAAACTGGAGGAAGCAGGAAAAAAGAACGCTGAAAGGTCAGCCTGGGCATGAAAATCAGCCTTGATCGCTCATACCCTTAACACAGTGTTTCTCAACCTCAGCAACTGGAAGATGTGTGGACTTCAACTCCCAGAATTCCCCAGCCAGCATGGCTGGCTGGGGAATT